TTTGAATGCATTTACAGCCCTAATCATGTCAGCGATATGCTGAGTTTTCCCTTGTATTTCTAAATTTAATTCATTCAACTTTGCCGTTATATCTGTCAGAAATCGGAGGTAGATAAAAAATCCTTATTTTCTAATTGCTCGTAAAATTCGTCTCTTGATGCAATAAATTCCTTTATTTGTGGTGAAAGCATGATAAACCGATCAAGTATTTTAGCTCTGGTCAGCCACCTCACTTCAGTATGTAGAAGATATGTGCACTGAACGTCCTCATCTTCTAGAAGTAATTTAAGCAATCTGTGTTGCATAGCTCCCGATCATATGGAATTAATAATTTTTGTTGCTATCGTAAATATGTGTTGAAAACCGATTGTTTTTGCACATAACATTTCTTGATGTATGAGGCAATGATAACAAATAAATTTCGGGAATAAGGAATCCTGTCTAGGTAAGGCAATACATCCTTTTTTCTTACCAGTCATCGCTGGTGCCCCGTCTGTTGTAATTGACGATAACTTTTGTAGAGGTAATTTAACATCTGTTATATACATTTTAAAAGTAGAAAAGATATCTCCTCTTCTGGTGCTTCCCTTTAATGGCAGAACTTTAAGGAATTCTTCTTTTGCTGTAAAATCAGGAAATACCATCTTCACGCAAATTGCTAATTGTGATATATTTGTCACGTCTGTTGATTCATCCATCTGTAGCGAAAAGAAAATACAAGTTTCCATATCATTTGCTAATTCTGCTTCCAAATTCTCCGCAATTATTTCAATTCTTCTAGTGACTGTTCGTGCTAATAATTGCAACGTGCTTATAGCTGAAACTATTTCCTTTTTATTTTTAAATTCTTCCAAAAGTGAATCAGCAGCTTCTAGCATGGCTTCTTTCACTAATTCTCCATCTGTAAACAGTTTATTCTTAGCTAGCAAATGCGATATTTTATATGACGCGATCGTTGCAGCTTTATGTTGTTGCAGGGGTTTAGTAAAAAAACTTTGCTGGTTAGTTATTGAAGATTTTAAAGAACTAATTTTTTTTTTCTAATTTCAGAGTTAATTTGATAATCAATATCAAAATTGGTATGGACCAGTGTTGGGCAAAAATTCATTTTTATTAAAAAAAATAAAAAATCACTGATTTATTTAAATTAATCAAAAAAATTATGATTTTTTTATTTTTATTAAATCAATTGATAAATCCGCTTAATTAGCTGTTTTAAAGTCATTGCAATTGTTGCCGAGAATATTCAAGCTAAGTTTAACCGATTCAATACTTGTCCGAACGCATTTTCGACGGAAAATTCTTGTCGCAACAGCCCGCGACGCGTTTTCGCACGTTGCCCGGCGTAATCTATAAATGCCGTCGCCTTTCTTCGGTCTTATTCATGTCGTCACAAAATTTCAAGAGAGGCTAATGTTGAAAAGTGTGTAGATTTTTTATGTTTGTGTAATAATAATAAGTCAGTTTGAAAAGAACGCAATGTTTGGAAAAAAAGAAGACAGTATTTGGCAGTTTTACATCACAACCACTTCTTCTAATAAGTCAGGATACAGAGCAACTTGCAAACAGTGTAAGAAAGATTCAAGGCATAGTACAAAGAGTGAAGGCACACCATGCCGTTTGTAAGAGGCAACACCCTCAATCTCCAATTTCGTTAGGCGAACTTCAGCAGGGGAAAAACATCTTTTTGACAAACAAATAGCTAAGGCCATATTTGCCACAAACTCAAGTTTTAGATGTATCGAGAACTCAGAAGTCAAGAAAGTCATTCATCTATTGAAACCTGGATACAGTCCTCCTTCTCGAAAAACGGTCGCATCGAGCCTTTTGGATGAGATTGATACTGAAGAAAAAGAGGCAAGTTTTTCATCTGTTTCGGGGAAAAATGTTAACATGTCGATTGACGGATGGTCAAACATTCACAACGAGCCGGTTATATGCGCAACATTAACAACGGAAGATCGACGAGCGCTTCTCTATGAAACCATTGATACTTCTGGAAAGCCTCATACTTCGACATACCTTACTGATCTGATGAGCGATTTAATTTTCTCGTGTTAAACAAAATTTCAGTATCAAGTGCGATCTTTTGTAACGGTCAATTCCGCTAATATGACCGCAATGAGAAAAACGTTAGAAGAACGGACGAACTCTGAAGTTATAACTTATGGTTGCTCTTCGCATTTACTAAATCTGCTTTGTAAGGACTTAAAGGTGTAAGATGTCAAAGAACAAATAGTACAAATTGTCAAACATTTCCGCAACAATCACATGGCCAAAGCCAAATTCAGTACAGCTGGAGGCAAGGGACTAGTACTACCTAGCGATGTTCGCTGGAACAGCGTGGCCTACTGTTTGGAAGCGTATGTCACACAATGAGAAATCATTCTCAAGATTTGCGAGGATAACTCAAAAGATATCGATTCTGCTATCTTCAAAAAAAGTCTCAAACATAGGACTGAAGCATGCAGCACAAGAGTACCTGAGCATCCTGAAGCCTATTGCTGTTGCTCTAGATATAATCCAGAAGAAAAATGCCACAATATCTAATGCCGTAGAGCAGTGGAAACTTTTGCAAGATAGATAAGTTTGAAGAATCTCAAAATTTATCTTTAGAGAAACTACAGAAGTTTCAACACCGCTATAAGCAAGCTCTTACACCTTATCACTTTATTGCTTACTGAAGCCCGGAGAAACAAAACTACGCTTTAACTCCTGAAGAGAAGAATCTGGCTTTGGAGAGACTATCAGTGAGCTTCATGGAAACTCGGGATTGTTGCCACTAATTATTAAATTCAACGCTCGCTGCAGTCCTTTCAAATAAATTATATTTTCTGATGAGCTGCTGAAATATATGAACGGACTTCAGTGGTGGCTCTCACAGAGAGATGAACCGGAAATTGCGAAACACTTGCCCACTATAAAACAGTTTCTTTGTGCAACTGCATATTCTGCGTCTGTCGAAAGGATGTTCAGCACATTCGGATTTGTTCATTCGGATATCAGGAACAGGTTGGCAATCGAAAAAGGAGGGAAATTAGTGTTCTTTTTCAAACTTTATAACGAAAATGAAGAGAAAGAGAAGTGATTTCCGTTTGAGTATTATTGAGTTTACCATTAATACCGTTTAATTTTTAAGTTCACATGTACCGTTTTCTATTGTGATTTTCATTTCTTAGATTTATTTGTTTAAATCAGTGGTTCCCAAACTTTTTTCTCGTGGACCCCCTGCTGCTACATTTTTTACATTTTTACATTTTACTATATTCCCAAAACTCCCAAAAATATCACCCCAAATTGGGGGTGTTAAGAAGAAAAAAAGTGGCACATTTTCTTGTGTCCAATTTGTTAAAATAATACTTGTGGTTATACAAAATTATAAACATTTATTATTACAAACAATCAACAATGAACTCTGAAATGTAAATCAACAATAATTTCTCATGCTCATACTTTTAATGAGACGGATGTGCTTGATGAATTGACAGCAAATTATCAATATTTGACTTCAGTTTTATGAGGAGTAATCTCAAATCTCCCCGTTCTGTGATGTTCAATCTGCTCCTTTTTTTGTTAACAGGCTGGTAAGGGCACTAAAACTTCTTTCGACAAGATAGGACGGGAAACTTTCCCACAGTCCAGGATATTTTTCGGGAATTTCTGCCTGCAGCCAAAATTTTTTATAGTCTTCTTTAAATTTCACCTTTAGTTCCTCGTTGGTGCTGAGCTCAAGTAGCTCCTCTTGTAATACCACATTCGCCTCTTCCGTTTCATCAAATGGGGTTATGATCCATGGTGGTATTTCCATCGTCAGAATATCTTCAAATCTATTTTTGAATTCATCATGCAGGGTTTTTAAATGTTGAGCGTATGTCCGAATATCCTTATCAGGACATTCTATCTGTGACAAGTGCGAAAACTGGAAAAATTCGTTCCGACTAATATTTTGCTTCATTAATTTCAATTTACCAAGGAAAGCCGAAAGTACCGCCTCAATAAATTCTTTTTCGGGTAATTTTGTATGCCCATTTATTTTTTATACAACTTATTGAGTAATCTATTGGTATATTTGTATATAATGATACAACATCCAGTGATATTATTTTTTGGTATTTTTTGTTGTTTTATAAAATCACAAAAACTCCATGAGTCTTTAATGTAATATTGTGACTTTCCCAATAGATTACTCTAAATTGCTGACAGATATTTAGATAATTGGTACGTTGGAGCATTTATGTTACTATCTATCGGTCGTAATGGAATGTTTTCCTTATGAAGTTTTGGTAGGCCATATATAAATAGTGCTCGGCCATTGTTGCAAGATAGTGTTCGTTTCAAATTATCTGTTATGAATTTCGTTATGCCATAAATTTATTATTTTATTTAGTTTTGTTTGTATATTGGTAGTAAGATCTTTCTTCTCCGGTTTATATGTTTTTATATCATTTATTAAGCTTAGCATTTTCGTTTTGTATTCACTTTTTAACATAATTACAGTTTTGTTACATTTATCTGCAGTTAGTATGCAAATGTTCGTGTTTTCATACATAAATTTTTTTGTTTCATTTATCAGTCCATTAACATGACATGCCATACTTTTATTTGTGTTTTGTTTTATTTTACCTTTGAAATTTGTTAAAAATTTGTTTTTATTTTTATGTTATTTAGTTTGTTTAGCAGTGTGCAAGATATTGCTATTGTAGTAATACGTGCTCTATCATATAATTACTACTTATGTGGTGTTTGTGGGAGTATTTCAATAAATAAAAGTAAATAAATAAAGTTTTTGTCATTAATTTTGCACCCTTTAATACCAGTTTTGCCTATCTGTATAGGCATAGGAGACGCCATTTACCTAAACGTGTCCAGTTTGGCCCACCCTGTAGAATTAGAACGACTATAAACCTTTGGAGCTCCAAAGGTCGTAAACAACGCCCAACCAAGTGCACAATTAGCAGTAACAGGTTTTTTTTAATAAATTGCTGGTATTTAGAACTTACCTTCTCCCATGGTGTATTTTTCAGGTTTGCCAGTGACCTTGCCAGATGCATCACCGTTTTGTGGAAGAACAGTTTGTCGTCTTTTGCCATGGTTCAGGTCGTAATGTCCCCGATTTATTTATTTACGCTCACTGATTCGCACTACGAACAACACAGCACTGCACTGAAAACAACGTACAATTGAGGTTAAGGTTCGTTAGCCAACAGCTGATTTTGACAGTTCACTGCCCCCCATTTGACACCCTCCAAGTGTGTGCTTCGCCAAAGTGTTAACGATTTAACTATAAATTCCTGCATAATCTACACAGTTTTTCAATGGTGGAACTGAAGAAGCCGAATGCTTTGCAGCAAGCGCTTTAAAGACTTAGGTTATGTTGTTATTTAATCTGTTTATGTCGCAGCTGATTGCCGAATTGCGAATCAAGGGGCGACGTACGTTACGAAACGCGCAGCATGCAATTGATAGGCTGACGTTTGGGCATTAATAACATTTATGTTGGCAATAACTAATAATACAAACAACAAGGAAAAATACCGTTAATCAAAGGCAAAAAGGAAAAAAGAAGAAGTGGGAGAGGACGAGGCTTGTTGGGACGCAAGGGCAGGCACGCACGGCCGCTGATTCGTCCAAAGCAGAGCAATTTAGCCATTTTGTTTTTGCTGTAGAAAAAACCGGCTCGTGTAAGTGTTCCGAACCACCTGTATCGATTACGATAACACCCAAATCGGCTTGCTGGCCTTTGGACTAGTCCTGTGCTGAACTAGCTCGAATCGGTGTCTTTTCTATTGTAGACGTAGACAAAGGAGAAAGTCAGCAGCCGCACGATGTCCTCCAAAAGAAAGAAGATGCCAATGAAGAAACAAGCCGCCAAGAAAGCGAAACGCAAGGAGGAGACCGACGATTCTGATCTTACCGATGGGGGTGAGGGAGATGCCCCCCAACCTGACGAAGTCTTGATTGCAGGTAAGTTTGCAAACTGTCTGATTGCCCGGGGTTCCTAACTGCGGGCAGTGCATCTGGAGTTGAGTGAACTCTATGTAGATCGAGCGTTTGTTTATATCAGACATCCAGCAGTTAAATTGCTCCACATCGCCTTAAACAATGTCTAAATATCGGCAATTTGTCAGGAGCTCGTTCGAGTTGAGGTAACTTTGAGCCCTTAGGTCCTTCCATCAGGGACAGCCCTACTCCGTTCCTGAGAAAAAGCAACAATAATAATCTTTATTATTAGGTCAGAGCTAGCGAAAATACATCCATCCTAACACCCAGCATTGCTTAATCCTTCCGGGGCCGGGGCTACTTGTTTTGAGACATGTACAGTCAGTAAAAAAGGCTCCATCACCAAGTCTTTTTCGTAGTTTGCTATTTTATAGGTACAAAAACTTAACCATTCAAGAAAACAAACAATTTTTCTAAATACACTTAAAAGCACTTGGGCTGTTTTGCCTTCGAATTAATACAAATTATCAAAAAAAGTGAATGTTTAGTTCAAAAATTTCTTTAATTATGATGATTTAAGTTTTCCTGACTTTATTTCCAATGTTAATCTAAACAGTATTCCTGGGTTTCATCGTTTATTTAGGTATCAAAATTCATTTAATCACTTTAAAATTACAATACACTAAAACGTTCCAAAATTGGGAAAAGAACAGAATTTCACAATTTCCCAAACTTCATGGTCCTGATTCCTTGCCTTTAGTCATAACAATTTTACAATGGTTTGTAACAGTTTATATTGAAATAATACAATCATTTTTATAAAAAAAAGCCCCGATTTTAAAGTGTACTCATATTTCATTCAGGGTGTCCGGTAAGCTCATGGTCAAAAGGGTACTGCGATATTCTTTGGACCAAAAGAAGACGATCTGACCTAGCTTTTATTAACAAAAAATGTCTGGCCCCTCTGCTATTGATGATCAAAGTTCTTCAAAAAATTTATCTTTTTTGAAATATCGGGAGAATGGTACGATATATTTTAGTGAAACTGGCTGTGAATTTGTTCTTATGTAAGACTCATATTTTGTTGAAACAATCGAGTTCAGCCGTTTGGGACAAGTGGTGAATTCTTGAGTGTCGTGGTACAAAAACTACCAGAACTTTTTAGTTGGAGGATTAAATCAACTACTTTTTTTAAGTTAATGCACTAATCATTTGTTCACAATTATGTGCTCTTTGTAAAATCTTGTAGCATTCATAGTTTTTGCATAAAAGAAATATGTCTGTTTTCTAGTCACTTAGGTCGCAAAAGAATATCGCAAGACCCTTTTGATCATGAGCTTACGGGGCAACCTGTATATGGACAAAATATTTTAACAACTGCTTGTTTTAGACAAACTGAGGATGGTGGAAAACTCCGAAACGTTTGTGAGAGAAATGAATCAATTTTGATGTCTAAATAAATGACCAGGACCCAGGAATATTGCTTACATTGTAATTATTATCTTGTTCTTCGACATTTGCAATTTGCGAACTCCCAGCTGAATTGCTGGTCGTTTGCTTCTTCATTTTTGCCTGCTTTGACTCATGGGGCAGCTCTTTATAAAATTAGCTTGACGAAATTCAGCAACTTTTGTAAATTCTATTATTTCTCAACTGAAAAAATGCAATATCCTCATCTAAACTTTTTCTAAAAGAAAACTGATATGTTTGGTTTTTATTGTATGCAAACCATCTTATGTCTCTATTTTATACTTTGACTTTGTGGGGTCCTTAATATGCTTGTTTAAATAGTTTGAAATGGGTGCAAAATCTGCTTTTTTTCAAAGTTTTTTCATGCTTTTTMTATTAACTTAACTATAAAAATCTGAAGGTATTTCTTCTTTAGTTTTTCAATCAGGGCGAAGCTTCCCAAACTCGAAAAACTTATGATCAATATGATTAATGTGTGTAGAAAAAAATTATGTAAATTTACAAAAACTCMTTTTCGYGCACGTATTTKWAATACYTCAACATAGAATCAAATGTTGGAATTTTCAGAGGACATTGAGAAAAGTATTCTGCGTYAAGTCAAATAACACTTTATGGAAAGGCGTGCATAATTTTGAAAAATTATGTCAATTTACGTAATCTCRTTTTCCKRTACGGATTTGAAATTCTTCTGCATAGAATCAAATGTTAAAATTTTCAAAGGACATTGAGAAMACGACTCWACTTCAAGTCAAATAACACTTTTTTCRCAAAAGCGTGCACAATTTTGAAAAATTWTGTAAATTTACGGAAASTCGCTTTGGGGTACGGATTTGAAATACGTCTACATGGAACCAAATGTTAGAAATTTCAACAGACATTGAGAAAAGGATTCTGCTTCAAGTCAAATAACGCTTTTTACGTAAAAGCGTGCACAGTTTTTAAAGAGTATGTAAATTTACGAAAACTCGTTTTCGGGCACGGATTTGAAATACTTCTGCATATAATCAAATGTTGAAATTTTCAAAGGACATTGAGCAAAGGATTCTGCTTCAAGTCGAATAATACTTTTTTTTTMATTTTCWYTTGTGTTGAATTTACTATTCAAACCCAAAACTGATTTGAGTCTCGGTTTCCACATTTCATATGCAAGCATTTGAARCTAAAGGTTTTTAAGCTCCGTTRGCTTATTTTTTATAGCTGGCCATAATTTCCCTTATTTTTCAATTTCAAACAAATCTCACAATGTGTATAAAGGTATTAGATGTCCATATTTTCCTTTGTGAATAGTCGAAACTTGTAGACTACTCAAATCTTAATGGTGCTAGGCTATATTTTATTCTATATTTATATATTTATATAAGAGTTAAACCACAACCCCTATCATACACACTATAATACAAGTTTGCATCCCCTGGGATTGGATACTCATATCTTATCCCTTTTCAGGCCATGGGGACGTTTTAGATGAGCTGAGTCCCCTTCCTCAAGAACTGCTAAATACGCTACTGCAGCCTGTAGGTCAATTAGTATTTTTCGGAGCCGTAAACTGGGATGCGGCAGGCAAACGAGAGTTCAAAGGCGTCAAGATGGTTCCCAATTTATGGTCTCCACATCGATTCGGCGATTGGAAGGTGAGATCTACAGATAATGTGCTGGAATCTATGATAAATTCGGAATGATTCCATGTTAGTATATGTTTGTAGTTTGTTTGAACATCGGTTTTGTTCTCATTGCAGTCGAAAATATTCTTAATGCATAGTTTGGAACTATTGAACTCGCGAAATTTCACAAGTTCTTGAGGACTTTCGGCCCAGATTGCTTTCAGCAAAAATATGAACTCGCCGACGATGAAAACTGGGCACCCAAAACTCGTTTGTGTGGAACAATTGGAATGAGTGTGCGTTTGCTTAACTTTGGAAAAACATTTTTTTTTCCACTCGTTATCAGCCGGCATTTTCCAGAGAACATGGTGGTGCCCAATGTCTTTACTCGTCAAGTTATTTTTTAATCTTCTAAAAATATACAGGTTTGTGTAAAAGACTCAAATTTTCATTATAAAGAAGCTGAAATGCATATAAACGCAAGCGAAAGTTTAGGAATTAGTACCATGTTTTTTCAAGGTTTACAGGGATTTCTCGACAAATGATAAAATAAACTAACGTTCGAAACATTGAAATGTTCTCAATTGATTTGAGTGCTTAATTTGTGAGTCCATCGTGCGTTTATCTTTTAGATTCACCGGTAATATCATTGTAATATAATTTGAATTCACAAATTCTTGTTTCACTTTGTTGAATGTGGTAACGCGTTCTCTAGGCGAGGCGAAAGTTCCAAATTTGCTCCATCCGCAGGGCATTTAGTGCAACGTTTCAAGTTTACTTCATTTTCAGCCAGTGCATTTGCCTCTAACCTCAGTTTACAAATTAATTCCGCTGCAACCAATCAAACTGCACTTGYGGGTCTTACTTTATTGGATGCCCAAGGGCGCTCGCTATAACCGAAAAAAGTTTCAAACTTTTGCCATCCTCAGGRAATTTTTGGCAAAGCTTCWACTTTGTCTCAYTTTCAGCCAGTGGTTTGCCTAACCCCACTTCACAAATTAGTTTCTCTATAACCAAACAAAATTTACCATCGCGTTTTAATGCTGCGCATGTGCTAATGTATCCTCTGTACGTACGCAACGTTTCAAACCTGCACTATATTCAGTACTCCAAGTGTGCCTCATTTTCAGTGAGTGTTTTTGTGTCCAATCCCGATTCACAAATTAATTTTGCTGGATCTAATCAAAATTCACTTTTTTGGTTTGATTCAGTCCAACTTAACCTGCTGCAGACTGACAAAGTTTCGAATTTCCTACATCTTCAAAGAATTTTTTGGAAATTTTATACTGGTGAACTTTATTGACTGAGTGATTTTATGTAAGTCTCTGCTGGCAAATTGACTAGCAAAATTATTTGGCTCCCAAAACTTGCTCAACCACCCATTTGCATCGTAGATTAATGAAGCCACCATGCATCAAGTCGTGGTTTTAATGGAAAAAGTTTCGTATTCGTAGAGCAGGCGGACGGTTAAGTCGATGTTACTCAAAAACGCAAAAAGCTGCCAAGTTGCGCTTTAAACGGTTTGATGGGGACGAACTGGGTGATTTCTGCCTGAAAGTTTCGGTGCATCACCTTCAGGTATTTTGGGACAACATTTCCAGTTTGAGCGGGTTTTCGGCCGCAAATTTTGGGTAATCAAATGTTCGTAAATTAGATTCTCGAAATTTGTTTCAGCTTTCAATTTCCCAGATGCGGCGTTTTTGGGAGCACGACTCCTTCTTTCTTTAAACTGTGAAGGTTTCGAATCCCTGTCATCATCGAATTTTTCAAAAACAGTTAAGTTTTTATCCATCGCTTCAAAGTGGTTTCAAAGCAAAGCAAATTTTGAAAATTAATTCGCAGAAAACTGAAAATGCACAAATATTATTTATGACTCTGGTGTGAAGAGCACCTTTCTGTGTGCAGACGGGAAACGTTTAGAATCTGTGCCATCATCCGGCAATAATGCAGGAATTTTTTAATCCGGGCCAGTTTTAAACACCAATTTTCCCTAAGACCACGTTTATGACACGACAATTACGCCAAAATCGTAAATCTAAAAAAGTATTGAAAACACTGCTTTGAACAGCGAATTTGGTTGTTTTTATCAGCGAAGTTTCGAATTTGCGTCATCCTCAGAAATTTTTCAATCAAAGAGGAATTTTGGACAAGAAATTATTCAAGTGTTGAACAAAAATTTATTTTAAGTCTCACTGTACTGGGCATAGCCGTTTTTATGAGACAACAGTTTCGAATTTGCGTCATCTTCGAGGAATTCAGAAAATTATCCCATTGTCTAGTATATTGCTCACTTTGAGCCCATTGAAACAAAGCGATTTCTTGGGTAAGTCGATTCATGTATTTTTTGCAAATATCCTAGTTTTTTGTGAGAATTGCTTTTTTTTTTCTTTTCTGTCTGCACTCCTCTCTCTAACATCTCGAGCCATAGAATTATAGTGATAAACGAGCGATTCTTGGCTCTCTGTCTCTTTGATACCCAAAGGTTCGTACAAAGTATGCCATAATAGTAGTAGAGGAATGAGGTTGGCGAGCCTGTCAGACTGTCAAAACTGTCTCTTTTGCTGCTGGGGATGGTGAGCGCGGAGAGACTCCCTGAGAGGCTGCCAGAGATAGTCCTTCTCTCAATGTCACATAGTTAGAATAGATACACAGGAAACGTCACCATAAGTTCCGATCGATCTTCCTGGAAACGGTTGAGACAGGCACTCTCGAACGTCTCTGGGAATGTTCTTAAGGGCTCGGTCGTCTTCTAATTGATTTTCCCATTCGCGAGTTGAAAAGTCCAGCCTGGTGGCTAAAATTACAACTACAAGTTAGTAGTAATTTGACAGTTGTTTTATTGACATTGGTGTCACATTGATGTTTACATCTGATTGTAATTTGTTTTGTTCTTATGAACTTTTGCAAGCTCTTAAAGAAATAGAAACAAATCGAAAAGTGTGTAAGTATTGTTTTATGTTATAAATATCATCAACTCCAATAAATAAAGTCTGACAAGTCTCAAGTGTCACTCGAAAACGAGTAATTTGACGTTTCGCAGCGCCACCATCGGTAGTTGAATGTGAAGTGAACTCGCGAATATGACAAGATAACGTTCTGCGGTTAAAGTGTGGTGTTTAAGAAAAGGTCTCAATATTCAAATTTTCTTCGGTTATGAAATTGTTTCCGGGCATAATGAAACGCTTTCGAGCAATTCTGATACTGATGTGCATCAAATACTTATTTTTTGACTTATAAAAATGGGTAAAATTTATAAAGAACTGGTTTTTTGCCGCAATAACCGGAACAATCAACACTGTGTTGTACATCGTTGAATTCGCTATTAAAATGTACTTGTTTTTCGGTCCATGTGAACAGTTGGTGATGCTTTCAAAGAAACGAAATGTAGTAAATTTTTAGACCATCTTATAGTGCCGGAAAAGAGACCATAAGAAAGAATTTTTTGTTTTCTGATATGATTTCAAATAACCTCAAAAATGAAAGGGTGAAAATCCGAAAAATCGGTTTTTGTAAATATCTCAAAAAGACTTATTTTTTGTTCAACTTTTTTCTAATTTAACCTGCTTCGTATCTCAGTTTCGGAGATCCCCATTATCTTCGACACCCTGCATTGAGTTGAAAAAATGTGTTTTCCGAAAGCAAAAAAGCCACACATTAAACTAGACGTAAAGCCCTAGTGATGCCCTACTAGGAACTTTTTCCTTAGTTCTAGGCATTCTTCTCATGCAAAAAGAAGGGATTTGTTACAATTATCTAGGGATTTACAAAAATTTTCGTTTCTGCAAAAAAAAATGTTCCTGGGAAGAAAATATTACTAAATCGGATTACAGAAGGTAGGGCTCGGAATCAAACTCGAATAATTCGAATATTCAAAAAGCGAATAATTATGTGTAGTCATAACTCGAATATTCGAATACTCGAATACACCAACATTATTAAACTCACAAGGTGCAAATATCTTTATATGCACTTTGTATACTTTTATAAAATAAATAATTCATATTCTACAAGCATTTAAACAAATACTAATATTCGAATATTCGAATACTCGATTATCCGAATATTCGTTAGATATTCGAGTATTCGAATAATTTTACTATTCGAATAAACCACTAAACGAATATTCGAATTTCAGATTTTTCAAAATTTCGAGCCCTAACAGAAGGCTAACTAGTAGGGAGCAGTGATGCTATACTAGGGAATTTTTCCTACTTCTAGAGGTTTTTCTCAATCAAAAAAGAAGGGTTGTGTTGCTATCTAGGGATTTTAAAAAATTTTGTTTTATCTGCAAAAAAAATTTTCTGAGAAGAAAATATTAATATATCGGACTACAGAAGGCTAACAAGTAGAAGGAACCACAATTTGTTTTAAGAATTCTCAATTAATTAAGAATCTCCGTTAATATGATATTCTTATCTTTCCTGGGTCTCAGTCAAAGTGTGAAGTGAATATCATAACAAGTACACGCAGGCAGGAAAATAAATCAGAATCTCCTTTAAGGATCTTTTAATTTCCCAGAATTATCTTTACTGGGATATAAAAATCAATACACTTGCAGTGAGCGTGATTTGCAACTGCCCCATCTACATATAAACTTTGTCAAATACCTAATTAAATCAAGGCTTGAATTTAAAAGAATAAATAAGAAGAATACAAATTGAAGCAAAATTATGAGTTTACCGTTTCCAATAACCCTTTTTGTTTCACTTATACTATTAATTATGTCAAGTCGTCCGTCGTCGTACGAACTGATAGATCTCCAACCAATAGAAACACAGTATCATCGTCTAGACGGATGCTTGGAACACGGGCTTTACTTATTAAAATATGTCGAAACAAACAGTTGCAAGTTTGCAAGCATTGAAATTTCGAATTTTAGCCGCCCGGTTTCCTGTCGGTGTGTAGTTTTATTCATATTTTTCAAGCGCTGTCTTATAAAGTTTTGCATAGACTTTGACTGTCCGGCTTTAGTTGGAAATACCTTAGATTGCTGAAAAATAGGAGATAACTTTAAAATTCAATCTAGGTTCGTCTGGCCGTCAGCGGATGTACTGCAGCTCATAACGTGCTGGTAGACGGTGATGGCAAAACCTATACTTTCGGTCGAAATCCTCAGGGCCAGCTGGGTCTCGACAACACCACGTCCACTGCAAAGCCTCTGCTCGTTCCCGCGTTGGAGAAAATGAACGTGATTAGTGCGGCATGTGGGAGGCATCACACTTTGTTTCTGACTGACACTGGTAAGCAGTTAATTTGTGTTCGAAAGCCGGTTGATAAATCGCGTGGTTTTCTTGATAGGCACCGTATATGCTTGTGGTGACAACAAGTCGGGACAATGTGGGGTGGGAAATCTGCAGCCTCAAATCCTAACTCCAACGAGAATTAACTATCGGGGACCACCGATTGTTAAGATTGGCTGTGGTGCGGAATTTTCCGTGATTCTCGATATCAAGGGGGGTCTGCATACGTTCGGCCTGCCCGAGTACGGTCAGTTGGGCCACAACACGGACGGCAAGTACTTTAAAACGGCGACAAAGTTGTGCTACAACTTTCAGACCAGTCCTAAGCGGGTGGTACTGTACATCGAGAAGAGCAAAGACGGGCATGTTTCGCCTGTTGATGTGACGGAAATCGTCGATTTCAGCTGCGGTCCCAATCACACTGTTTGCATTGACAGTCGCAAACGGGCTTTCTCTTGGGGCTTCGGCGGCTTTGGGCGGCTGGGACATGCCGAACAAAAAGATGAAATGGTGAGACAAAATTAAATAGTCTTCTTTGTTAGGTGGTTGTTTTCTTTGTTTGGTTTGTTTCAGGTGCCGCGGCTAATCAAGTGCTTTGACACCCAGTCTCGTGGGGTACGCTCTGTGCACTGTGGTTCAACCTATACATTAGCAATAACGGAATTCAATGGATTGTTTTTGTTTGGTCAGACTAAACGAACTGGAGAGGTGAGAAATTATTTTCCAGAAAAATAGTTAAAAAAACAATAATTCCTATTAAAAACTGAGATATTTGCAAAAAAACTAAATCAGAATTACGACAACGACGCTTTTCAGGGTAATCTGCCTAATTAACATTTCGTAAATTCGCCAGTTCAAAAGTTCGGGCGCTCCCTGGTGGCTAAAATTATAACTACAAGTTAAGCAGTAATTTGACACTTGTTATGTTGACATTGGTGTTTGCATCTGATGGTGATTTGTTGTGTTTTGTTCTAATCAACTTTAGCAAGCTTTTAAAGAAATAGAAACAGGTCGAAAAGTGTATAAGTATTGTTTTATGTTATAAATGTCAGGAACTCCAATAAATAAACAAGTCTGACAAGTCTTGACTGTCACTCGACAACGAATAATTTGACGTTTTGCTGCGCCTCCATCGGTACTTGAACTCGCGAATACCTGTTGTTTATCAATTATTCAGAACCCAGGTAACCATAACTAAACATTGAAGTTTGAAAGTGACAATTATATTTCATTGTGGTTAGGATAACCCTATAAACCATTTCTCCTTTTCTGTCAATTGGTCTGTTCGGAAATTAATATTTTATACTAGTGATGACGTGATTTGCGAGTATTATTTTGCTAATGCCGTTTTGTGAATAACTAATGTTTTGATACAATACCAGATTTCCAAAAATAAACGATGGGAAACAAAACTATTTTTACTAAATGAGAAATAAATTTTAAATAATGCGCGATTTAATAAATTAAAAATTATTGAGGATTATTTGTTAGAGAACACGGTTCAAAACGGTTTTGGTTTATTCTGAAGTTTTCTGATCAAAAGATCAAGATGCTTTGATCTTTTGTCAAATGTTCAAATGATGCGGAAATTTTCCGCACTGTAAGGTGATCATGTCGTTTGAGTGCCTCTGATTCCTGGACGGTCCATAAATTAATCCAAAAAACACTCACAAAGATTGATAAACATCACCATTTTCAGGCAAAATTTCGAGCGCTGTTGCAAAACTGAGCAAAACGTTTAAAGGTAATGAAAATAGTTTTGTTGGATACCTAGCAAGTATATCGATTCCATTTTGGTATTTGAGTCGGTTTAGATTATGTGGGTCTTTTTGGGGCATTAACTTCGACTTATTGTATATACTTTTAAATTTTATTTAAAAAATCACTTGAACCATGCTAACACAAACAAGCTAACTCAAAATTAACCGAAAGGAAAAACGCAAAAATACGTGGCAACACCGCATTCCCGAAAGAAACAGATAATCCGCCATCTGACTATCGACGCGCTGGATCACCTCAATCACTTGACGACGTTAGAAAAGATGCTCAAACCTTTGCGAAAAACACAATTATTATGCATCTAAGCGACAATTTTGCATGTGGAGTTGTTGATATCTAAAACACGATTTGAAGGGACTCAAACGACAGGGTCACTCATGTTTGTGCCCGTTTAATGACCTTATTGTACACTCTTCGTAGAATTACTCGACTCACATTTTAAGCAGCTTCTTTTGTACCGGTGTTCGGTAGACAAGAGACTCAATGTGTCCCCAAAGGAAAAAATCCTTAGGAGTCAGGTCAGGGGATCTTGGTGGCCAGTTTACTGGCCCATTTCGGCCTATCAGTTCCGTTCAGCAAGCTCTTACCGGAGCAGTGAAATGGGACGGCGGCTAGTGGCCGAATGTCAAGAAGGTTTTGAAACCCCGAAGGAACAAACCATAAAAAAATTCACCATTGAGCCGAGATGGCGAAATTACGGGTCCCAATAGGTGAATACCAGGAATTTGGAATTAACCTACCCAAGCATTTACACTGAAATGGTCTTGATGATGTTGCAAAATTGAAATATGTGGGTTCTCGGTGGCATAAACATGAGAATTGCGGCAATATACGGATTATTGTCAAGACTTTGCTAGCTGAAAATCCGCGATATAGTAGATGCCACTAACATTTCCAAGACAACGGTACATAAGCATTTAATCAAGATGTTGACTGAGACCGGCCTTAAGAACCGCGTCTTCGAGTTTGATTTGCTTTTTCAGCAGCACGAAGGAAATCCGTTCTTAAAGAGTCTCGTCACTGGAGACGAGACATGGATTTTGTCTCAAAACGTACATCGAAAACGAACTTGGTCTAAAAAAAAGACCTGCAACTGTTGCGAAGCCTGGGCTTCATCCGAGAAGGTTCTTCTGTGCATTTGGTGGGACGGGAAGGGTGTAGTGAGCTACGAGCTCCTTCCGCAAGGTGATACGATCAGTGCTAACAAATGTTGCCAACTAAAAGCAGCCATAGCAGAAAAACGGCGAGATTTGGTGAACGACAAGGTGTATTCCATCACGACTACGCAAGACCGAATGTTGCGTTGGCCGTAAGGCAAAAATGATTACAGTTTGATTGSGACGTTCCACCACACCCTCTGTATTYCCCAGACCGTGCTCCATATTGGAAGAAGGCTATGGAGCAGAACGGTTCATATCTAACATAATAAGTCAAGCTTACACAACAAATATCGTGTATTCGTTTCGCATCAAAAAGGGGAAGAAACTTATGGGACGCCCTAAGTATAATTATTTGATTGTTCGTCCTTTCGATGATTCATTGCTCTGCTCTTGTTTGGCAGTTCGTTTCAATTTCATTTATATTTGTGATTAATGAACAACGCCAAAACTAACTAGAATTATTAATCGATAATAATTAAAATTAATAATTTTTCCAGAGATACTGACTAAACAAGAAAACCGCGAAGAAATTCTTTAAAAATTAAACTGTTGGTCAACTTACAAGCGACGATAGAAACCAACGAACTTTCATCTTATTAAAAAAGTCCTTTAAAAGTTCTGATTTCAACAAATACTCAAAATTTACACTGGGGCTTAATTTTTATCAAGTTATGATCGTCTTCGCTCGTTTTGTATGATATTGTTTTCAATCTCATCTGGCTTATTGTTTCATCTGCTAGCCCCAGATCTCATCATGCCTTCATTGGTCAAAATGTGCCGTTCAATCTTTGTTCAGTGCTGCAGCTCAATCCGATGCTCAAAAATGGGCAAAGAACATGCATAAATAACATCTTGGCCTAATTTAGTGTACCAAATTCCGATTTCGCCTTTGTTTCAAGTTTGAARATGTCTTGTGAATCGGGACTATAACTAAGCTGACTGTTTGCCTGACAGAATACTTTTCCCTATGAATTTCCAATTTTTGCCAACGGAATGCACCGGCGCAGTTGCGTTGCAGTCATCAAAAATGTGGCGGCTTTTCTAGGTGTTAAAATGCCAGTCCCGGGCCTCGTAAAGCAGTAATCCGCCGCTGAGTTAAATACTACGCGTAATTCAAAGTGCGGCGCAATGAGAGGCGATGAGTTATAACTCATTAGCGCATAGCAACAACTCACAACTCCAACTCAACACAGTGTCAAATGAGTTTCACATTTATTCGTGTTCATGTTAGTTAAAATTGACTTAAGTTCTATTGCAATTTTTCGAAACTTTCCCATTCGATGTTGAATTTTTCAAGAAAACTGTCTATATGTGTTTCAGGCAAATATGTACCCAAAGCCTGTTCAGGATTTGGCCGGATGGAACATCACGCATATTGGAACAAGTCACACGTCCATTGTGATCTCTGCGGATGAGACGTGCATCGCGTGGGGCGCTGCGCCCACTTTTGGAGAGTTGGGTTTTGGCGACATGCAGAAAAGCAGCACGGTACCGAAAGAGGTAATTAATCGGTCGGTTTGATGACTTGCAGCTCGATAATGACGCAAATTTTGTTCAGGTCACCAAAATGCAAGGCATTAAGGTAGTGGGGCTCAGTATGGGATACTGGCAGACTTTGATTATCGCATCAGAAGAGACGCCTGAACATAAAGCAAAAGTTGACGCCTTAAAGCTGTACGAGCCTTAGATGCGGATGGGCACTTACTTTAATTACTTATTTCTCCGACAGAAAAAACTGTCCATTATTGTCTGGAACTGTTGGAACTTATTTTACACCGCTGTGGAACAGCTTTTGATGGTAAATGTTCAATTTTATTTCACCGATGTTTGTACGGAAAAATGAGTGGTGTCTAATTTATATTCATGAAAGTTGTTTTTGAGGTATTGAATAATCAATACTTATTATTGAAAAGTGTAGGGTTGAGTTGTACGACTAAGCCGACAAAACCTATATCACACTTCATCGGCCCGACAGTATTTCTGTTTTTCCCTTTATGGAATTCTTTTACGTATTTATATCAGGTGATTGTTTAAGTGTCAGTCCATTTTTATATACTTAGTTTTTCAGGAGTTTTCCAAATAAATACCCCATTTGTATACGAATGTGTCTGATGATGAGTGCAACTTTTGATCCACAAACCCGCAACAATCACCAATGTGCAAATGCGCGGTTTATTAAGGTGAAGTTTATGACGTGTGAGAAACTATGCCAATTAAAGCCCGGAATTGCTATAAACGAAAACATATACAGCGTGAGCAAATAAAATGGATTATGCTGAAGGTGCACGCCCGCGACTGAACTGGGCGATGCGAGCGAGTGTGCATTTAGAACGCGATTTTTTAGTGCTCTCAGTTGTGGATTAAAGCTTGGCTTGGGAAGTTAAAGGTCGTATTTTCTAAGGATTTTCGGGTTATTGGAGACACCGGTAATTAGAAGAGTGAAATAACTAAAAAAAGGTCATATGAGATTAATCTAGCTCTTCGTAACTGAAAACATCATGAAAACTCCCAGAAATTTCCTATTCTATTGAGTTTTTCCTCACTTAAAGCAGCCGATTTTCTATTTCTTGTGATGTTCTGGGCCGCGCTCAGGAATTTTTTGTTTTCCCTTGGTGGATTTTCGAAAAATCCGTGTTCAACGACCAAGTGCTCCGATTTAGTGTCTGAAAGAATCCTGGAAATTCGCAGAAATTTCCTATTGAAGGAAAGGTTTTGTTCTTTTGAAGTAGCAGATTTTCTCTCTTCGGTGATTTTCTAAGCAGGCTTGAAAATTTGTTTGTTTTTAACTCCTGGAACTGTTACATCCTGGAAACTCCCAGAACTGTCCTAATCAAGTGAGTTTTTTTCCCCACTTAAAGCAGCCGATTTTCTCTTTCGAGTGATGTTATGAGCCGAGCCGCATTCCGGAATTTTTGGTTTTTCTTCAATTTTTCAAAAATTCTAAAAAATCCGTGTTCAACGATCAATCGCTTCTATTTAGTATCTGAAAAAATCCTGAAAACTCACAGAAATTTCGTATTAAAGTGAGGTTTGACTAACTATTAGAAGTGTGTTAAACGGTTATTTTTCTGTAACGAGTTACAACGTTTCAGTTTCACTTTGGTAATAGGTTCCAAAAGAAACATGCTACTTTTTAAATTTTTCATTAAAAATGCAGAATGATGATGATAGTAGAAATAGTGATGATTTCCTTTATTAAAAACATAATTATTAACATTGATAAACTTAAAATAAAATATTCTAAAATCAAAAACAAAAGTAAGAAGTAACTACTTAAAGAACAAAAAACTAATAATAAACTAGAGGACTAGATAAAATATACGGTTTATATGCGAAAATGTTTAAAAATCTAATTTTGATTTAAAAATGAATTAACATTTAAGAATAAAATTGTTTGCAGATGCTTTTTGCTGATTCTAGTTCTTCGGACGTTTATGATAGCATCCGCTTTAGAAAATAATTTCTCGCATTTAGTTTCACAATAACATTAAATAATCCACAATAACAACAAACAGAAATGCGTGTTTGACAAACCTGGACGAAGTATTACGGACTTAATTTTGGTACCACCAAAAAATAATTTTAAAAAATGTGTCGACCTTACGTTTATTAAATTAAATGCAGGAGCACATTCTGCTTAAAACGTTTGTTATTTTACATTTCAATTGTGATGGAATTTATGTCTTTATGTCTCATGACTCTTAGTTTGCTCATACTTCATATGCAAGTGCACATTCTGTTTAGTTTGCTGGTAATGGGCATATAACTCCCGAGCTAAGTTTCTAGAAAGTAATCCCTTTTTTTAAGATTTATTACAGAATGTCGGAAAACTAAATACCTATAGACTAACATTGCTGAATTATATAATCGCAGCAACTAAACAAATTTTCGCTGTTTCCTGGAGAACTGAACAGTAATTCTTATAAATGAAAAGTGATACACAATCATCAAGGCAACACGCAACTACATACAACATATTTTTCGTTGACAAATGTTTACTGAAACTGCTGCAACTGGATAGAGCGAGAGCGCTCGACGATGCCGCATCGGTTCTGTGCTGACGCGAACCACTTTTGCAGGTTTATGAGACGGTTGCAAAAACAACCTTTAAGTCGACAAACGGCTGCAGCTGGTGCGAAGTGCGCACAACTGTTTCTGTTTTATGAGACGGTTCCAAAAACAACGGTTTAAATTGGCAAACGGCTGCAGTTGGTTAGATCGCTCGACGGTGTCCGAAGTGCTCGCCGCGTTTCGGTTTTATGAGACGATTCCAAAAAAACGGTTAAATCGGCTAGCTGTAACTACGGTTTCAAGGTACACGTTTGGAACACTGTTATTTCAGCGGTTACGTTAAATACCGACCATCCCTACAGTAAACCACTTCTTAACCATTGAAATTGATGGTCCCCATAGTATTTATTAAGCTTTACCTTAGTTTTTGACGTAGTGTGCTCAACATTACACAGCAGTCTACTAACAGACGACAGTTGACGGGAGCAGTGTTGAATTTAGAGTTATTGCGCGTGAAATTCAAAAAGTCACTGACTTATCGAACGACCCTCGTACTTTGTATATAAACGGTTTCGGTCGTGCGTTCCGACTATAGACGCACTTACTTAAAAGCACCGCCAGCAAACCTACGAGCGAACTACCGAACCCTTACATATCGCGAAGCGCAAATTCTTCTCAAAGTTATCTCTCAACACTTAAACAGTGCCGGCGCGTTGTATTGACGCGGCAGACCGTATCGGTGTCGCTGTGTAGACACCTGAAAATCCACTGTGTTACCCAGGCCTTGAGACACAGTTTTTCGTGCGCGTATTAGCACTTATTGCGATGTAGGTAGTCAATAGGAAGGAATATTAATAATACTACTGATTTTTTGTAATTGATTTGAAATGGCAGAAAAGTCGTTAATTGTGATACTAAACGAAAACAAAACTTTTCGAGAAACGTTTATGAGACGGTTCCAAAAACAAGCGGTTAAATTGGCAAAGTGTAACTGTTAAGGTTACACGTCTGGAACACTGTTATTTAAGTGGTTACGTTAAATACCGACCATCCCTGCTAACTACTGTGAAACACAATTAAATATTTGAAGTAATAAAATTATATATTTTCTGGAAACTCTCAAGTTAATTTATTTACAAAATGAGGAAAACTGACAACATGCTCAATGTATTTGGCTACCGCTAGTAGCATCGGCTCGCTAAGATTTCTTCCGATTAGTTGCACACTGATTGGTAAACCCTCACTGGACAGCTTGATCGGAATTGAGACAGCTGGAACGCCTAAAAACCAGCACAAACTTTTATCTTCATATATTCCGCAAAATTGAAATTCGACGTTGTTCTTCTGGCGGGGTCTTTGGTGCCCCCTTCAAATGTTTTGAGGGAAAGGAAGGAAAATTTTATTTCAAAGTTCTGTATCTCTGAAACGATGCGATTTACGAAAAGAAAGTTTAGGGAAAAGAGAAAAAATAATGTAGGTTGTAGTTATTAACCCGTTCAAGTACTCAACTGGGAACAATAAATTTTCTTGAGACACAAGGATCTTCCAAAAACTGTAATTGAACGTAAACGTTTAATAATGTGATTATCACCATGCAGAGAGCTGTAATCAAGGACCCGGACCGGAACTAAATAACTGTTCCGTTCCGGATGGGGCCCAAGGCAACATTTTATGTTTCGGTTTAGAAAATATTTTCCAATTCGGTCAGTTCCCATTTCGGTTCCAAAATCTATATAATACAACGAACGTGGACAAAGATAGAGACAACTCTAGCTAGGAATCTCATCTTTTTCTTTGCTTGCTGTATTCTACAAGGTAAAAGATGCGCACACGATCCACTGCTTCATACTGTACTTCGCCTGATTGCACGGTAGATACAATTATAACAAGTAGGTAGTAAGTAAGTATATAAAAAATGAAATTAAATAAAAGACTAAATGAAAGAACTTTTAAAAAAATGTGCATGCCAAATTAATTTAATAGTATTTTTACTGTGTTCTCTGACTTTAGCATTTTTTATTCAGGTCCACTATTTCGTTAATTCCTATTCTTTCAATCTTATTTCCGTTTAAAGATTTTTCTCTCTAACACTGTGTTGAGTTGTTGCGGCTCTCTAAGTTATTGAGTTTTAACTCAACGGTTCTTCTTCTGGTGCACTCTATTACTGAAGGTTTGCGATCACTACATCAAAATCTTCCCGATTCTGTGCTGCTCCTAGTAATTGTTGAACGTTCATACCTGTCCAAGTTCTGATGTTACGTAGCCATGACATTGTTCTTCTGCCTACTCCTCTCCGGCCTTCTATCTTTCCTTCAATTATTAGTCTCAGCAAGTTGTATTTGTCATTTCTCATTATGTGGCCTAAGTATAAGGTCTTTCTTTTCTTAATATTTGTTATTAGTTCAAGTTCTCTATTCAGGATGCGCATTACTGCTTCATTGGTTATGTGTTGTGTCCATGATATTCTGAGCATTCTGCGCTAGAGCCACATTTCAAAGGCTTCTAGGCGTCTCATGGTATTTAATTTTAGTGTCCACACTTCAACTCCATATAAAAGGACAGACCAAGCGTAGCATTTAAAAAATCTGAGTCGAATGTCTAAGCCTAGTTTACGATTACAGGTAATTTGCTTCCATGTGTTGTACATGTTCCTGGCCTGTTCTATTCGTGTTTTTATTTCAACATCTGGATCTCACTTATCATTTACTACTACTCCTAAATATCGGAACTTGTGGACTTTACTTTAGTTTTTTGAATATTTATCGTCAGTCCCATTGCCTCACTAGCATTATTGACTCTATCCAATATGTTTTGCAAATCTTCTACAGTTTCTGCAATTAGTACGGTATCGTCTGCATATCTAATGTTGTTAATATATTTACCGTTTATTTTTATACCAATTTCGACATCGTCTAGTGCTTCTTTGAATATGCATTCATAGTATAAGTTGAAGAGCAATGGACCTCTTTGAATGTGGACGCCTTTAGTGGTATCGTCAGAATATTTTAAGGTGGCCTCTTGGTTCCAATAAAGATTTTGAATTATGCGGAGACCTTTTCCGTCTAACTTCATCTTCTGCAATTCATTCAAAAGTTTTCTATGTTGCACTCTATCAAAAGCATTTTGATAATCAATGAAGCCTAGATATATTTTTTTCTGGTGATCGAGGCATTTCTGAATTAGGGTTTCAGTTGTAAAGAGAGCTTCTCTGGTCTCTAAGGCCTTTCTAAATCCAAATTGAGAGTCACTTATGTCTAGTTCACATTTTCTGTAGATACGATTCTGTATGATATTCAAGAATATTTTTAGCAAGTGACTCATCAAGCCAATGAGCCTGAATTCGTCGCATTTTCGGGAGTTAACTTTCTTAGGTATAGCTATGCATTCTGATTTAAGCCATTCCTTTGGTATTACGCCACTTTCATAAATGTTATTAAAGAGATGTGTTAGTAGTTTTATGTTGTTTTTTATTTATATTTCGTCTGGGCTACAAGCTTTCCTATTCTTTACATACTGTATGGCATGTTTAACTTCTATGTCTAGGATTGGGGGTCTTCCACTTCCCACGTCGGCGTCTGTTGCAATTCAGGTCTGTTATCCGCGAAAGATTTTTCTTTGAATTTCTCCCAGATTTGCATCTGTTCGCTTTTTTCTGTAATTATTCTTTCTTTGTTATCACTTAGGATGGGTATCTTTTGTTTTGTGTTATTATAGGAGGTTTTTTAAATTTTTGTGGAGGTGGAATGTGTCATGTTTTCTGTCTAAATCTTCTATTTCTTTACACATTTCATTTATCCGCTTTTCCTTTGCTTCTTTCATTTTTGTATCGATGGTTCTTTGGATTTCTTTGCATAATTGTGCATTGTTTTTGTGTTTTCTTCTCTCTCCCATAAGTTCCAGAATGTTATCCATTTCTTACTGTCCTCACTCTTTAGTTCTTCTCTTTGTACTCCAACTAGCTTACTTTTTAAGGTCTGCCATGCATCTTCCATTCCCCCATCTCCCGTTATGTCCCGAAAGAAACAATATTTCTTTCAGTTCTTCATTAAGTTTGGTAGTTACTTTTTCTTTAATCACTATTTTTCAAAGTGCTTCAATATTGCACTTTTTTGGTTTCCTTCGGCTTATTGTTTTTAGCTTGTGTCTTAGTTTGATAACGACCGGATTGTGGTCTGATCCTACATCCATGCCTGGATAGGTTTTTGCACTCTGAATACTTGATTTGAATCTGCAATTAATCAGAACAAAGTCGATTCGATTAAACTCATCGGTTAATGAGTTATACCACTTTTACCGATGACCTAAACAAAAAAGGTCATCAACATTTTTTATGAGGAACGTTTTACCACCAACGGAACTGAGCGTCGGTGCGTTGGGTTGGCGCACCAACCCATTTGCGCAGCACTGCGTATTTTTAAGTAAAACTTTAGAAATTTTTTTGGTAGAAAGAATTGATTAACAAAAACCTTTTTAAAACTGGAAAGGCCTGAAATTTTAAAGAAACTGTAAAAATCTTCAGACCAATGAAGGTGGCGAATTTACCAAATGATTTTTGTAAACTTTTGCACACGTTTTTCCAAGATAATTTTAATTACTTTCGGTAAAAAACTAAATAAATTTATTTGGTTTATAGGCTAAATTTAAAAAAAAATAATTATGTAATTTTTTGATGAAAATACCCCATGATTGTCAGAAAATAATGGGTTTTTTGCGCTTTGGATTAAAAACTTTTAGTTTTGTGATCGGTTTTTGGGAAAAACGGTAGAAATTTATTTTAATTTTGGCCGGAATTCGACGCTGAAAACTTTTTGTAAAATTTCTACAAAGCTATAAATTTATATGGTAATTTTTCGCGTAACACACTTCCAGATTGTCAGGCATTTCAAGTGAAACTACAAAATAGAGCGTTTTTGAGTGGAAAGTAAAGCAAGAAAAAAAAATCAGCAAAGTAGTTTCATTCAAAACTAACGCAAAAATAAACTTTCGCTTATTCTGTTCTTCATTTGATAAAAAATTATTCGATTTTTCTCCGCAATTCGAAGCTGGCAAGGGATTTCAAAACTTTTTACAAAGCTACGAAGGACGCGACTTTTCTAATCATATTTATTTTATAATTTTTCGCGGAAATTACCTTTAGTGAAACTGTGGAAAATTGAGCGTTTAGAAGAAAGAGTAACTGTGCTAAAACTGGAAACTTCTGAAATTTTGAAGAAGGTTTAAAAATATTCTTAATAAAGAGCCCTTAAAATAAGTCTAAAGACAACTAAAAAAGGTCAGCAACATTTTCCTAGCAACGAAACTGAGTTACTGTGCCGGTGCGTTAGGTTGGTGCAGCACTGTGCCAACTCCTAAAAATTCACTGAGTTACTTTCTCTGTAGAAACGTTTGCTTGAAAATATTTAGTCAAAAACGGGAAATTTTGAACAAACTTAAACATTCTACAGAGCGATGAGGACGACGAGTTTTCCAAATAATTTTTGTAAACTTTTGCTCTCTGGTCATTTTCATGGAGGGGACGAGTTTTCCAAATAGTTGGCTATACCATTTTTCTTTCTCTGATCGTTTTTAGGCAAAACTTATATTTTTTAATTGTCATAACTTAGAAGGATGGGTGAAAGTGTTTCTTCTTTTTGCCTCTTCCACTCGCGCCAAACTATCCGGTTTCCGTAAGCTGCCACTGCATCGAATTGTCTGCAAAATTTTTAAAATTCCTCTTTGTAGCGCCCTTCAAATGATGTTAATCAACTTGAAATAAGTTATCGATGTATTCTTTCCAGCGTTCTAATTTTTGTGTTGTCCCCTTTATGATGTTTCCTTCTGTGTTTAAAAGTGTGTTTAATTTCTTCATTCTTTCAACTCCTGCCAGGTCTTTCAACTTTTTGTGTAAATTGATATTGTCGCATTTATTTTGCAACTCTTCCATCTAAGTTTCTTTGCGTCTCTCACTTGTCTTCGAATTTGACTTTGTAGTTGTCTGTAACCAACTTTGTTATTTGCATTGCATTTTCTTCTTTTGTTCATTATCATTAAGACTTCGTCTCTCATCCGCTATTTTTTATGTTTAGTTGTTTAAAGTTTTTCTTTATTAGGTCATTTTCATTGAGAGGACGAGTTTTCCAAATAGCTGATTATATGATTTTGCTTTATCTGATCGTTTTCTGGGAAAACTATTTTTTTCGAAAAAGACACTAGCATTTTGTTTGGACCTTGTCCCAAATTCAAACGTAAAACTGGTATTAGAATACGATACCAAAAGAAGATAAAGGCGACGAGATTTCTTGTAAATTCAATCTGTTAGTTTTTTTGCATAAGAGACTCTCAGTTTTCCAGTATTTGATAGTGAAACGTTATGAAAAACACGTTTTGCTGTTTAGACTAGAGTTTTGTTTAGAAATATTGACCTAAACGTGAAGAAAAGGGAACTGAAAGTCTTCAGCGCGATGAGGGTGGCGAATTTTACAAATAATTTTTGTAAACTTTTGCTCTCTGATCGTTTTTTAAAGATAATCTTAATCATTCGGTAAAAGCTAAATAAAATTATTTAGTTTTTGTGCCAAATTCAAAGCTGAAAAGGGGTTTCTAAAATTCCCGACAAGCGATGAATGGGGCGAATTTACTAACAAAATGATTTTTTCATTTGGGCTGAAAAAACCCCATGATTGTCAGGAAAGTAGAAAAGCATCAGCAAATAATGGATTGTTTGCGCTTTTGATTGAAAACTTTTAGTTTTGTGATGTTTTGGAGAAAACCTTAATGATTTTCGGGAAAAACCGGGAGAAATGTATTTTCGTTTTTGTCCCAAATTAGACACTGAAAATAGTTTTTCTAAGATTCCTAATATTATCGTTTGAACAATAATATAGCACGCGCACCTTCCAGACGCGGCGCGTCCGTATTGCATGTTTGAACAAGTTGCCGACAAGTGAGTAACTCGTCACAAAAAATTGTTTCGGTTCAGTAAGAACTACCATTTTATATCGATGAGAGAAAATCGATAAAATAAATTCAATTCTAGAAATGTTTCAGAAAATTCAAGAAAAGTAATGGCCATTTTCCATTACAAGATTTTGGTATTTTATTAATTGTGAAACTTTACCTGCCATATTTGCGGGCTGGGTACAGTAATCCTGCAAGGCGCACTGATCTCGATTCGTTTTCTGGATGAAATCTTGATACAGCGGAGCGGTGGTCAACGTAGTTGGTGTTAGCAGGATTTGAACGTTTTCCCATACATCATGGAAATCGTTTGATATTAATCGTCGAACTTTAAGCGCTTTGTTAAAGTACTTTTCGTAGTTCCTGCAAAACAAGTTTGTATGTAATTCAGATTTTATGGTGTGTATCCGAAATGGTAAGGGAAATAATTGTATTGTTTGGACATCCGACAGCTTATTAGTATTTAACAATCGAAATACGAATTCGATTTAAATATGTCCAAGGTGAGCGTGAAAAATAATTTCTTCATCACCAACACCTTCGTACAACTGCCAGCAGGAGGATTGGCGCAGTAACTCGGTTCGGTTGCTGGAAAAATGTTGATGACCTTCCACTTTAGATGTTTTTTAGATTTATTTCATGTCAGCAGTATTAAAATACTGACAATCTTAACGTATTTTCTGCGAAAAATTATAATGTTTTTTATTAGAACACTTGGCTCCTCGACGCTCTGAAGATTTTTTAAGTTTCTTTAAAACTTCAGGTATTTCCAGTTTTAGCAAAGTTTTTATTAAACAATTTTTTCTACGCAAAAAGACGCATTATTTTTTATATTTACGAGTACTTATCGTACTTAAAAATACTGACAATCTTCAGGTATTTTCTGTGAAAAATTATAAGATACATTTTATTGGAACACTCGCCTCCTTGGCAGCTTTGTACACATTTTTCTAGAACCTTTTGCAGCTTCGAATTTCGGACAAAACCCTAATAATTTTTACTAGATTTTTCCCAAAAATATTTCCTCGAACAGAACAAGCGAAAGTTTATAATCAATTATTTGAAATTCTTCACTTTTACGTCTAAGTTTCTAAACAAACTTCGCTCTAAACAGGAAAACGCAATTTTTCCTAACGTTTTACTGTAAAATACTGGCAAACTGAATCTTTTATGCAAAAAAATTAATAGATCGATTTTTAAAGGAAAACTCATCGTATCTATGGTTTGGTCTTTTTGATCGTCTTTTTCGAATACCCGTTTTTCCTGTGAATTTGAGACAGAGTCGAAACAATGCTATATTGTTATTTTTTACGAAAAAAATCTGGTTTTTCCTAAAAAACAATCAGAGAAAGCAAAAGCATATATTCAACTGTTTGGAAAACTCGCCACCCTCATCGCTCTGCGGAAGTTTTAAGGCACTCTCGCTAAAATGCGATAAATGCATTGTTAAGAAATGGCGCAGTCAGCAGGACGTGTGTGTAGCGGGTAGAGACCTCAGGCACTTTTTTAGTTACCAAAAACACGCTGGTATAGATGGAAATCGCCAGCTGATACAGATAATAACGCAGTCAGAAACAAAATCAATTATATTTTTAAAAAGACAGATTCCGAAACGCAGTTCAATCAGCAAAAGCTTATCCTGGTGCGGGCATTTGCTCTGATCATAATCCTCTTATTGCTAATTCCTAATAATCCTAATAATCTTATTGTTTAAGCTACAACTGAAAAAGATGCAACCGTCCAACCAAAATGATCAGCTAAAATAGCTAAACTTAACGGCGAAGAAATCAAAGAAAAGCGACAACAACAAATCAATGCAAATTTACAGGAAAACCATCAAACTTCAACAAAGTGATGAAAACGCAGAACAACAGTGAACCGGAACTTAATAAAGAAAATCTTAAAACAACTAACAAATAAAAAATAGCGGATGAGAGACGAAGTCTTAATGATAATTAAAGGTTCTTCAAAATTTCACTAGCTTCCAGTTTTGGCACAGTTACTCTTTCTTCTAAACGCTCAATTTTCCACATTTTCACTAATGGTAATTACCGCGAAAAATTATAAAATAAATTTTATTAGAAAAGTCGCGTCCTTCGTAGCTTTGTAAAAAGTTTTGAAATCCCTTGCCAGCTTCGAATTGCGGAGAAAAATCGAATAATTTTTTATCAAACAAAGAACAGAATAAGCGAAGGTTTATTTTTGCTTTAGTTTTGAATGGACACTTTGCTGAATTTTTTTCTTGCTTTACTTTCCACTCGGAAACGCTCTATTTTGTAGTTTCATTTAAAAATGCCTGTCAATCTGGAGGTGTGTTTCGCGAAAAATTACCGTATAAATTTATAGCTTTGTAGAAATTTTACAAAAACTTTTTTCAGCGTCGAATTCGGGACAAAAACGAAAATAAATTTCGTGATGATTAACCTTTTAAGCGGAGATGGTGGAACCGGGCCTTAATCCGGTTTAACGCTTAATCCCGATTAAAATCTGCTGGTGCATAGGGGCAGAAGTCACAAAGACTAAAGAGACAAAGTTTAAAATAAAGCATAAAAATATACAGAAAAGATCGGCGCTCGGAACGTTTCTACAAAAATGCCAACAATAAACAAACTGCCGACCAAGAGCAGATCACTAAATCAACCAAAAGGGCCAACAAATAACGCATTATATAATCATTTTTATCCTGTACTTTTTGCGAAAAGGTGTATGAATATTCAGTTTGCTACCGACAGTGGACGAAATCGGTCAATAGTTTTCGGTCTTAGATGGTAAATTTATAATCATTGTGGCCCTTATGGCAGGTGCGGTAGTTTGTGAAAGTGTGGTAGAGTTTTTGAGGATAAATGGGTAGAAAATGGAGGATACTGCCCCAGCTTGCAGAAAGCTGGTAAGAATGAGCTCAAGTCTATAAATCTATTAACTAAAATTAGCAACTCGATTCGGATACAACAACGTGCGTGAGTACATTCTGGTAAATTTTCAGCAAAAAGTCACACGAAAATTGAATATTAGACATTTAGGTTCAAGTTGCGCCAAATTTTCATTTCAAAAAACCGTCTTCTACAGAATGCCAATCTCTCAAGTTTCTACTGGCTTTAGTTTGGAAGTTGGATTTTTTTCTTGAGGAGTCTGCAGTTGCGTAAAAGTTCAAGATTTTATGTGATGAATTTGTAAAGGTTTAAAAAACTCACGAGATTTAGAGCGCACTCTTCTTTACTGAACGCACAACTCTGGACTTGTGACTATCTTTCTTTTGGTCTTTGAGAATTTATTTTTTGAAAAACTGTTCGAAATGTGTCTCGCAGTAGTTCTTTGAAATCCTGCTCAACTCAAATACCTGGTCAGCAAAAAGTAATTTCCAGTCAGGATCCTGTTGCGTACCACTTCGTTAAACCCGAAACTCCTGCTGCTGGCAAACAGTTTCTCCGTGGATTCATTATCATCCGACCTATAACCGAATTCAACGCCATCATATCGGGCCATGTTGCTGGCAACTTCGCATTGATTCAGTATGGAGTAACAGACTATGCTGTGTTCGGTGTTGGGCATTGATACCTGCAAAAATTGTACGGTTCTAAGGTGAGGCTTCACGGGATTCTTGGGTTATCACCTGCCTGACTTCGGCACCCTCCGCCTCCAACAGATTTGCCACTTCATTCCACACTTCATGCACTTCTGGACTTAGAAGTTCGCTGAAGTACTCCACTGGAACGCCCACTTTCAGGCCCTTCAGGGACATGTTTTTTCCATCTGGAAGTCTTGGGAGAACCCACCAGGTTATTGAGTCAATCCCAGTAGGGAAACTACCTGATTTTCCTGTAAGGCTTGGTCAGTGACGTGGAATCTTTGGGATCAAACCCTGCGATGGCATTGAGAATGCTCACACAATCATCCACTGTTCTGGCCAACACGCCTGGAACATCCATGGAGTTGACCAATGGGATCAAGCCCCATCGCGACACCAAACCATAAGTTGGCTTCAGGCCAACGACCCCGCAATATGAAGCGGGGTTTCTTGTTGATCCTCCCGTGTCCGAACCGATTGCCCTAAGGAAAAACAGACATTTTACTGATGAATGGCAAAACCAACCAGCTTTTTACCCATAACACATTCCAGTTGCTACAGCTATGCTGCTGCCGCCACTGCTTCCTCCAGCAATATGAAAGTTGCATTCATCCTGATACCCCCAAATGTTTCTCGAAGGACCATAAATGGAGTCTACTGTTCCTGAGCCCATTGCGAACTGGTCCATGTTTGATTTGCCTAAAAGTACCGCGCCAGCGCTTTCCAGTCGCTCAACCACAGTGGCGTTGTACGTTGGGCGAAAGTTTTCCAGCATTTTTGAAGCACATGTAGTTGCCACCTGAAATTGTAACTTGTGTTTTTCGGTCGGGAATGAGGCGCAATAAAACGGTTTTTTTAACAAGCTTTATGGAGATTTGTCCCAGTGCAAGTCAGTGATCAGCGGGTTAATCGCTTCGATTCTATAAACCTGCGATAAGGAAATGGAAATTAATGGGTTTCCAAGATTCGCGTTAATTTCAAAATTTTCCATTTTGCATGAAACTAGAAATATTTCTAAAATGATGTCGGATCGAAACAAGTGCGTATTTTAAGGTTCTATCAAGCAGGGCCAACTGGAGCGTCACAGTTTAACCGGTTCTCTAAATTTCACCAAAAGCAAAGAGCGGTTTCAAGGAACCGCGTTAAGTTCAAACTTGTCCATTTTGCAAGAAAACAAAAAATATTTCTAAAATAATGTCTATTAGAGACAAGTGCGTATTGTAATGCTTTATCGAGCAGTAACAACTGGAGATTTACAGCTCAACCGGTTCTCTAAATTTGACCAAAGGCAAAGAGCAGTTCCCAGGACTCGCGGTAATTTCAAACTTTTCTATTTTGCGTGAAAACCAGAAATATTTCTAAAATGATGTCTGATATAAAAAAGTGCGTGTTTTAATATTCTATCAGGCAGGACCAACTGGAGCTTCACAGCTTAACCGGTTCTCTAAATTTCACCAAAAGCAAAGGGCGGTTTCAAGGAACCGCGTTAAGTTCAAACTTGTCCATTTTGCATGAAAACTAAAAATACTTCTAAAATAATGTCTGTTAGAGACAAGTGCGTATTTTAATGCTTTATCGAGCAGTAACAACTGAAGATTTACAGCTCAACCGGTTCTCTAAATTTGACCAAAGGCAAAAAGCGGTTTCCAGGATTCGCGTTAATTTAAAACTTTTCTATTTTGCATAAAAACTAGAAACATTTCTAAAATGACGTGTGATATAAAAAAAAGTGCGTATGTTAATGCTCTATCAGCCAGTGACAACTGGAGCTTCACAGCCTTACCGGTTCTCTAATTTTCACCAAAGGCAAAGAACGGTTTCAAGGAACCGCGTTAATTTCAAACTTGTCCATTTCGCATGAAGACTAGAAATATTTCTAAAATGATGTATGATATAAAAAAGTGCGTATTTTAATGCTCTATCAGGCAGTAACAACTGGAGCTTCACAGCTTAACCGGTTCTCAAAATTTGACCAAAGGCAAAGAGCGGTTTCCAGGATGCGCGTTAATTTCAAACTTTTCCACTTTAAAAGAACATTGGAAATATTTTTATGACGTATGATATAAAAAAGTGCATATTTTATTGCTTTATCCCAAATTCTGTCGGGTGTGTTCACACGCGCCTCCTCACGCCCTACAAAGGTTTTTGCGTGTGTGACTACTCTTTTATTATCGAGGGGCAGATGTAGACAATTTCCACACTTCTTTCTAATTCTTCTATTACTATTACTTCTAGTAGGTACCTCTTTGGTGCAGAAGTTATCTTTGACTACAATGGGGAGCCCGTCTAGCTCCGACAAAGATTGATTCGCATCGTACCGTCGTTGAGACCTCTCGGCCCCCCTTTTCGCCTGACTTTCTGTAACTGCAATGAAAGCATTGTGGTTTTCAAACTGTTTCACTCGGCTTAATGCTGTCTCGATCACCGCCTTCGGCGTAACGACATTCTCTGTTAGTAGCCTGAAAACCTGCAAAGTTTAACGTGTAGCATGCATTGATTTAACCGGACATTTTGCATACATTTTTTATGTTGGTATTCAACACCTTTTCCATTGAAAAGGCAAAAAAACGCCCGTGGTTCCGGTATATTTTTGTTCGCACTTTTAAAAATATGTATTTACTATTTTAGGAAAAGTGAGGTTTACACATGACTGCGATGAGGTTAACTGTTACTACACTTTTTGTTCTTCTTTCAGCCTTCGTACAAACGTGTTTGTTTTGACTTTTACTATCTATTAGGTTAAGGGTTAGGTTTTTAACCCAACTAATCGAATTAGAAGCTAATTTCCTTCTGGAACAATCATGAGGAAAGTTCCTAAAGGCAGTATAATAGCGAATTACCTTCACAAAGGGTTTGTGAATACATGCATAGCAGCTACTGTAGTGGGCTCAGGCTACATGGCGTACCGAGGTTATGTGTATCTGACCGAAGTAAGGCCCCAGTTTGTCGAGAAAAAGAAACTGGAACAGCAGAAACTGTTGGCTGAAGGTTCCTGGGACAGTCTCAAAGATCCAGCCCTGGAAATACGTAGTTAAATGGGACTGATTCTATGATTTCATGTTAGTCTAGTCGGTTTTATAAGTGTAAATATGTGCCGAAGTATATTGCTTTTTTGTGATTGAGAAATGTTAGTTGGATTTTTATTTGTTTGGTTTTAGTAGGTAGTTAAGGTAATTGTTGCCCAAAAATTCTGCCCGCTACTTGGTTAACTGGATTATCTTTTTCTTGGGACCGTTTCTACCTCAGTCTGAAAACTCGTGCATTAGAAATATGTTTTTTGAAGCAATGTTTTAATGGGGGACATTAAAGTCCGTTTTGAGCCTAATTCGCGTATTTTTTCCTTTTTGGTAATTGAAAAGTTTTCCAGAAACGTAGGCCCATTTTTGATACTCTCTAGTGAATCTGGAGAATGCGTCAAAACACGTGTGCTCCAGTCCCAAACCCGCTATCCAAAGCAAATTTTCTCATTCACCAATCACTAACAAAATCAATACTAAAATGTGGAAACTGGAAGCGTTTTTAAACATCCGGCAAAATATAGATGAGAAAGCTCGCGTGAAAATCCAGTTAATTAATCCTTCGCTTTCAATGATGTGAGTACCCGAGAAAGCAACTTTTCTTGATCCCCTGGTGGATACTTTCGCCACTGTTTTTAATGGCGAAAGAATCACTTTTACCTGTTACAAATTTTCTTCAAGTTTTTTTTCCAAACCCTTAAATTGGACGTCGGTATTTTGTTCATAAACGAGATGAAAGTACCAATTTAGTGCAATTTAGACGCGTCGGTCGATCGTCTTACCTGTTAATTGCTGAGTGGAATCCACATTTATTTTCAACTTCGTGTGAATATTCATTATGCGTTCAAGTGTAGTGTGTGATTTTTGAGGATAAACGGATGGAGGATGGAGCGCCAGTTTGCAGAAAGCAGGTAAGAAGGTTTATTAATTTATAAATCCTTATCTTGAAAGGAGTTTAGTTTTTCGCGAAACAATTCACGTTTTATTCAGTTCTGTAGTTCGTTTTCTTTCCTATCAAATCACTGGGTTTTAGACTGTTTTTTTTTCTGAAGAAAATGTAGACTATAATTCAAAAAAATTTGAGGTTTCAAGACAGCAAGGAGCTATTGTCTCGCCGAAACGTTATGAAATAAACGATATAAAAAATTTATTTCACACTTTGACTGAAACCCAGGTAGGAAGAGAATATAATGACAATTTTAGACTAAGTTTCTATATTACTACGGATTTTTTTTTCTTTTCAGGTGGTACAATGCAACTTTCGGTAAGTTTAGCCATTGGCGGATAGCACGTTAAAACGTTGCGTGTTATCCTGGCCAAACCTTTCAGATTCCGCACTTTTTTCCAAATTTAAAACCATAAACCAATCGTTTTTTGCCGAACGATCGTGTAGGAGTTTTTAGCGGTCAGTATCCGTCCGACTATTGCCTTTTCCGGCGTAAAGCCCCTTCCTACGCTATAAGCGGTCCAGATCAAGATTAAAACCATACTTGCGCCTGTTCTTCGAAATTTCAGCGTTGATTGAAGAGTATATATACTATTTCAATCAACGATTCCAGCTAATAAATGGCATTGAATTTTTTGAGGAAAACTTGAAGTTTTTGGAAATTTTGAGTTTGTTTTGAGAAAGTTGTGTGAATCGCGTTCTTACATCCTCACGTCCGAAAGCAAGTGCGGTAGCTTATTCTGCTTGCGATCTGCAGGATTTAAGTTTTCTATTCGGAGTAGATTTTTATTGAGGGTCAGAAAATGGAGGATGGGGCGCTAGCTTGCATGAAGCTGCTGATGTTTTTTATGATCTGTGAATTCTTTACTTTGAACTGAGTGTAATTTTTCCAAAAGCAACCGAAGTTTTTTGCATTCTTTACATTCCTTATTCTTAATGGTTTGGGACGCATTTTTTACTGTACTAAATCAATTTTCTCCTGTCTTTCCAGGTGCCACCGATGTAGCTTTCGGTAAGTTTGCCATGTAGATGCAGAACTTTCAGTTCAACCTTTTGCTTCAGTTGAGATCCTGATGTTACTATTTTGTAAATGTAGGATTTTTGCTTTCTGCTGACTCTGAACGTGAAGCAAGTCCTTTTGAAGTTATCAAAATTAAAAAATTTTGTTAAACACAATTTGAAAAAGGTTTCATTAAAAATTTAAATCAATTTAATATTTAAAAAATACAAAATTAGTGTCCATACTTTGAAAATTATTCAAATACAAAACCTTAAATATCTCCATATTAAATAAAATTCACTGACACAAAATTTTTAGCTTTTGCTTGACGAATTTTTGAAAAATCTGTGTTGTCTAATAACCAATCGCTTCGATTTGGTATTTGAGAGAATCCGGAAAACTCCCAGAAATTTCCTATTAAAGTGAGGTTTCCGTCATTTAAAGCAACATATTTTCTCTTTCGAGAGATAGTCAGGGTAGGCTTGAGAGATTTTTGATTATTTCTTGACAATTTTTTCTAGATCGGTCTATCTATATCCACGGCCAATCGTTTCCTCTGAGCAACAGAAAGCCTCCTGGGAACTCCCAGAAATTTCTTACTCTAGTGAGTTTTTCCTCACTTAACGCAACCCATTTTCTCTTTCGAGTGATGTTATGGACCGCGTTCAGAAATTTTAGTTTTTTCCTTGGCGAATTTTTGAAAAATCTGTGTTGTCCAACGACCAATCGCTTCGATTTGGTATTTGAAAAAATCCGGAAAACTCCCAGAAATTTCCTATTATAGTGAAGTTTCCATCATTTAAACCCCTATATTTTCTCTTTCGAGTGATCTTCAGGGCAGGCTTGAGAGATTTTTAGTTTTTCGGTAACAATTTTGTTAAATCCGTCTATTTATACCAACGGTCAAGCGTTTTCCCTTAGTAACTGAAAACATACTGAAAACTCCCAGAAATTTCCGAATCAAGTGAGTTTTTCCTCGCTTGAAGCGACCAATTTTCCTTTTCGAGTGATCTTATGGGCCGCATTCAGAAATTTTTTGTTTTTCCTTTGCAAATTTTTGAAAAATCCGTGTTGTCCAACGACCAATCGCTTGGTATCGATTCGGCATCTAAAAAAATCCTGAAACCTCCCAGAAATTCCATATTAAAGTGAGGCTTCTCTCATTTAAAGCCACATATTTTGTCTTTTGAACGATATTCAGGGCAGGCTTGCGATATTTTTGGGTTTTCGTTGACAGTTTTTTTTTTAACTCTCTATTCTATTTATTCTCTAGTCTATTTATACCAACGGCCAATCGGTTCACCTTAGTAAACCTCCTGGAAACTCCCCGAAATTTCAAATTACAGTGAGTTTTTCCCCACTTAACCGCCCATTTTCGCTTTCGAGTGATGTTATGGACCGCATTCAGGAATCTTTAGCTTTTGCTTGGCAAATTTTTGAAAAATCTGTGTTGTCCATCGACCAATCGCTTCGAAGTCTAATTAAATTTAATTATAAAATAAAGATTGTTATTGTTATTATCATTATTAGATATTATTAACTCATTAGGTTCCAGGCGACTTTTGTTGCCCACTATACTTACCAATCTGCATTTGCGCATTTAATGGTTCAAGGGCAGGATAAAAAAAATTAAACCCCACATGTGAAAAGTCTAATATTTATTATTCGTGTTTATATATATTTTTTAAATGTAGATATAAATACAGATACTACGACAATATTACGGAATAATACAATAATTAAGACCATCGATTTGAGAAAAACCTACGGCTCAGCCTTACGTGTACAGTACGTCTTTGTTTAAAAAAATAACATTGAAAACAATTTAAGAACAAAACGACACATAACCTAATCCAATTGATTTGTTATTAAACCGAACAATATTTGCCTATTTATTCCAGCCGAATCCCAGCTAGAAATCATAACAATATCGAAGGAAGACAAAACGTTAGCTCACAATTGAACTTCATCTCGCGGTCTTGATCGGTAGTGATAACGTTTTATCTATGTAAGGCTTAATTTAGGGTTTTTACACATTCATTTACATTCTTGAGGTCACACAACTACAAAGAATATTTTATTGCAAGGTTCCCGCCACAGGCACCACCATTTAGATTCTGAAACTAAATACGCCACGTAAAAAATTCTTATCACAGAACAAAAATAAAGTTAATTACAAATAAGCTACACACGGCTACATGATTGAGTCAATTGCACAGTCTTACGAGGTCCCGGCGTACTGTATGACGCTGTATCGCACCGGCGATAGGTCGATGCTGTCTTCCATGGACTTTTGGATCATCCTGGACCGCTTCCGAGGCGGGAGACTCAGCTCTGGGTCGGGGGAGGCCGGTGGGGCAGGCGATACCGGATTTGAACTAGGCGGCGTCATAATGCGCTCCTCTTCTGAGCAGCTCATCTCGTCCAGAACCAAGGCGGCTTCAACGCGCTTTCTGATGTCGTCGCCTGCGCTCAGATTGGCCGACGGCGTCGGCACGTTGGAGAAGTAGGCGGGATGGCGAAGCGGCTGGGGCGAGTTTTTCATGAAGCTGAACAAAATGTCCTGGCCGGATGGCGAGTAGAAGTCGCTGCTTTCTCTGGCAGTGGCAGCTGCGGCCAGCAATTCAACGCCCGCCGACGAAGCCGGATAGGAGGTCTGAAGATAAGAAGGCGATAGCCGACTACGGGAACACAAGTAGTACAAATCCTCTGCGTCGGGAGTTCTTTGACTGGCTGCGCTCAGCTCCTCCTCCATGGAGCTTTTGGAGTTCTCCTTGTCGCTCGCGCCCGACTCACTGGAAGGATTGGAGGATGGCGGAGTTGGAGGCTGCGGCGGATGTTGCACTGCCACATTCACACTTTCTGAGTGGCTTTTAATGTGGGCCTCCATGCTCTTCTTCGAGTTGAACGTGTCATTGCAAATGGTGCATTTGTACACTTTCTCCCCGTAGTGCGCCACTTGGTGCAGCTTCAGCACGTGGTTGTAGCCGAAGGACTTGCCGCAGATTTCGCATGAATACGGCTTTTCCCCAGTGTGCGTTCGCGAGTGGACCTTCAGCTGTTTGCTGCAAGTGAAGCCCTTCTGGCACACCGTGCATACGTAGGGCTTTTCACCAGTGTGCGTGCGCATGTGGATCACCAACTGTCCGGACTGGATAAAGGTTTTGGAGCAAACCGTGCATTTGTGCGGCCGCTCCCCCGTGTGGATTCTCATGTGTCTGTGGAGTTTGCCCGAATGCTCGAACGCCCTGGAACAAACCTCGCACTTGTAGGGCCGCTCTTTCGTGTGGATGCGGCGATGCACGCTCAAGTTCTCCTTCACGCTGAAGCTCTTGTCGCAGAACTCGCACCGGAAGGGTTTCTCCCCCGTATGGGTGCGGTAGTGCCTGGTGAGACGAGCTGGCACGGCGAATGTCTTGGAGCAAATATTGCACCGGTACGGATCGGCTCCTTCTTCTTTAAGGTGGGCTTGGCGCTGGTGCGTTTGGAGGGCCGCCTTGGAGCCGAACATTTTCCTGCAAGTTGAGCACTGCTCGATCTGCGGTGCTTGAGGATCCTGCGCCTGGGGAAACGCTGGCAATGGCAAATCGGGACTGCACACCAGCTTCTTTACGGAAAGGTCCTCGGAGGTGGAAGGATGCAATGCGGACGATACTGGCAATGAGGTTTGACTGTAAAATCCCACCATTTCCGGCATTGACCAGCTTTCTTCTGAAACAAAACAAACAATCACTGCAGACAACTGTTTTAAAAGGAAATTTGTCTTTTTTCAGTCAGACGCACCATTTTCGCCTGCTTTGTCAGGACTTTTGTCCTTGGCACTCGCGCAGCGCATCAACAGACTGCGTATCATTTTCGGAGTGAGCACTTTCTCTTTCGCGACAGGATTCATGAAAATGGCTCGGTGGACGACCGCTCGTCCGAGGAATTCGGTATCGACTAAGCGCTCCGATTGTGCGTAGCGCACGGAAAGGAAAATCGTTGCCCCGCCCAGTGCGTGAGGGGCCCGAGGGGCAGTGAAATGATTCGGATTTTGACCCGGCCACCTCACTGTTGTTGGCAAAACGCGTTTCAGAACCCCGGGTAACGACCAGCGCAGAGGACAATGAACTGCCGAAAATTGATGGGGGCAAAGACCCCAACGCATCGAATTTTTGTTATTTCGACAGAAGCTCATGCTGTAATGGATCGGAACGAGAAAAAATGTTGGGAATGACTTGCTGCAACTGTTCGACCACAGTGAATGCCCTATTTGGTCAAACAGGCTCCAGGGGCTTGAAAACTGTTGTTTTTTAAGCCGAAAATAAGTAGGTGCAATGGACGTTCTTTCAAATCGTTTTTTAACCCGAAACTTTTAATTGTTTTTCTAAGGCAGTTTTCCAACCCGCACTAAACCAGCCCTTGATTGTGACGCAATTATATGTTGAAACAATGTTGGGGCTTGAAAACTGTTGAGTTTTACTCCGAAAATAAGTAGGTACAATGGACGTTCTTTCAAACCGTTTTTTTGTCCAAAATCTTTCATTGTTTTTCTACGGCAGTCTTTAAACCCGTAATAAACCAGCCCTTGTTTGTGACGCAATTTTATGCACAAATAACGTTGACACATTCACCGGTTTGTAACCTGACCACTTGTACAAGTTGTTAATATCCTAAGAAAATGTGCTGCACCGTAGGCCTGGGTAAATCAGTTAATTTTTATTGCGCCAACCCAACGCACCGGCGCAGTAACGCCGTTCCGTTGCTGGGAAAATTTTGATTTGACTTGTTTTTATATTTATTTTAAGGACCATTTATTAATAATATTTTTAAAATGTTTTCTAAATTTCATAATTTTCCAGTTTTAGCCAAGTTACTCTTTCTTCGAAATGATCAAATTTCTAAAGTTTTACTTAAAAATGTTGATAAAACTTAAGGTATTTTCCTTGAAAAATTATGAAATAAATTTCCAATCCTTAGTCGCTGTGGAAAAAGTTTTAAATTTCCTTTCCAGCGTCGAATTTGGAACAAAAATCAAATAATTTTCTATCAAAACACCTCCATTTTACAAAAAAACTCGTTGACTTTCTTTGGATTCAGTTTTGCTGCTGGAAAAATCGAGATAACTTTTTTTAGTTCTTTGAAAAAAGTAGTAAAACGTTACTCAGAGAAAAGTGTTAATAACCTTTTTTAGATGTTAAAATTCCGGTCTGAGATCTCGTAAAGCTTCAATCCGCTTTAATAAATGACTCATAACTCATTAACCGATGAGTTATAACTCGTTAACTTTAAGAGCTGCAACAACTCACTAGCGCAACTCAACACAGTGTTACCCAGGTTTACCGCACCGCGATCACCTGACAAATTTACCTTAAATGATGTAATAATGTATCTTTATTTGGTTTTTGGTGCGAGAGAGAGGCAAGAAAGTGACCTAATTTTTCTATAACATTTAAGAATTGAGAAGTCAAGAGTGAGAATTCGACTCGTAAAAATGTCGGTCTCTTCTCTTTTGATGTAAGAACAGTTACGAAGACGCCAGTTCCAGTAGCGAAGGGGGCGCTGCGAAACGTCAAATTACCCGTCACCGAGTGACAGTTGAGACTTGTCTGACTCATCTATCTATTGGAGTTGGTAAACAATCGAAGTGACAGTTGCAATTGAATAAATTGAATAAGAAAAAAGCAAAAATGAAAAGCTTGCAAAAGTTGACTCGAACAAAATAAAACAAATCACAATCCGATGTAAACACTAATGTCAACGAAACAAGAGTCAAATTATTAGTTAACTTGTAGCTATAGTTTTAGTCACCAGGGAGCGTTTGGACTTTTGAACTCACCAATCAAATTTTCATTACCAAAGTGGCCTTAAGAGAATCTGGGGAGAACATAGTTAATTTGACCAAAAGAGGGCGCGATTGCAAGGCAAATATTAGAAAATTCTTCACCGTTTCGGTTGACAGCTCATTGACGTACAGGCTTTGACAAGAGTGGGGGCCCTCGTTGACACTTTAAACATTTGAATCGCTGCCACTTCTAAACCGCTGGTTATATTTTAGTAATTTTTAGGTTCCTGGTAAGTGAAACGTAAGTGCTTTAACTCTCATGTGGCATAGAACCAGATAGCTAAACCGACAAAATTGTTATTGTGTCACAAATTGCGCCTTTTTTCATGTTACATTTTCAATGGCTTCCCCACTGCTGGCAAAGCTCGGAAACTAAACGTGTCTATTAATTTGCAAGACAATTTCAGTTTAAAAAATTAACTCTTCAATTTCGCCCTCTTGTGGTAAAATACATAACTAGGAATTATTTTCAGGGATTTTCCCTTAGCCACTTTAGTAAATAAAATGCTTTCTAAGTTTCCAAGTCCAATACTTTTCGAGATATGACAGAGAGAGGATAGGTAGCCATCCACTATATCCTTTTTATAGCTAAAATGCGACATCAAACAAGGCAAATTGAACTAAAAATAACCCATTTTTAGCGTTTTATCAGGCGAATATCTAAGCCAAGGGATTACGAAAGCCATTCAAAGAATCTGTATGTTTGCAGGCTTCTCATGACTCATTTCCAACCTACAGATAAAATCCCACATTTTTTCAACTACTTGCTACTTACGGACTTTGAGAAGCAAGTAGGTCCATGTCTTTGCCCGAGGTAAAAGCGAAAATTCGACTGTTTTGCACATTGTCTGCTTTTCCTGGTGTGAGAAATTGACGAATCCTCAATTGGCCCTAGACCCAGTCCATTGCTCAGTTTGTCCACCACAAATCTATCCAACCTCAAAACATGCAATAGATATCCAGGTTCAGACTTCCTGGCTGCTGGACGAAAAACAGCAACCAACAGCTTAACGCACATCATCTTCGGCCGGCTCACTGCTAACTTGGAATGAAATGCAGACTTTTCGAATTTTCCTCGAACTGGATGCTGGGCATAGCTAACCTACAATTCCATTGCCGATTATTGAACATCCAGGCGCTTGCACCGGGAAATGTATCTAATTTTCCGGAAATGCTCTTGGAGAACAGTGTTGCCATTGCGCGCGACCTTGCGATGCCGTAAACAGTTTAACAACCAGATATTTTTTGAGGAAGTGGAATTGCTGCTTTGCTTCAGCTCTCACGAAAGAGCAAAAGTGGGCACTTGCGAGGCTACTGATATAGAAACCCTTCTGGGATTCAGACAATTGAACGGCGACGGCAACTCAGCTTTGGAGCCAATGGCTGTGGAAGCAGCGAAGTCGATACAGGCGAAAGACGAAAAAGAATTGGAAAACCACTGGTCCAAAACTTCCACAACAGTGGACACAGAAAAAACGACAGACTGAAGAATTGTTCTTCAACCCAGAATGTGATTGCACATGAGAACGCCACGAAAGCGTCTCCACCCAAGCACTATGACGTCAGCGTACGTCATACTGCGACAGTTTGGTTAGTCAGAACCGTCAATAAGACAGGATTCTGAGTTTTAGTCGATGTAAGTGACAAGTGACGTTTTCAATGTTAGTGCCGTGATAATCTCGTCAGTCTGACGCGAAAAAGCTGGTGTCTTTGACGAATTTTTCACGTGATTATCACGTTCACGTCATGAAGTGTAAAAAAAGGCAAATAAAATAATGCATTAAGTTCAGGGCATTTGCCCGAACTGAATGTAGTCTTCTGATTATTCCACATCAATCAATGTCGATTATTCGTAGTTCAGAGTTCAGCGCGAATTCATAAAAAGTGACAACTTGTTTTCCCCCTGTACTTTTCATTTGCGAGTGCTTTTAGAAAAAAATTTAAATTATTTGTTTGATTTCTTGAATGAATTTTGAACAATGAAACTTAAAGTTAGTTTTTAAAACCTCTTTTGCAAATCACCCGGGACGCTTGGGTCTTTGACTATTGCAATTTTTTTTGGTTTGCTTATTGACCGCGAGCCAACTGTTAAGTTTTGCAAAACCATTTTCCGTTTGGTGCGAATTGCGTTTTTTTTTTCATTTTTTGATTTTTGCATTTCACTTTTTGTTATATTTTGTGTTTTCAGCAGTTATTTGACTATTTTTTCCGAGGCTTGGCAACGCTGTTGTAAACTATGGATTTTGTGCTGGTAGCAGTTGTAGTTTTCTGCGACGATTTTTTAARTAAATTTTGTCCGAAGACATGGTTTATTCTCAGAAAATCAAMTAAGAAAATGTTCTCATGTGTTTGTCGTGCTCGTTTGGCGATTTTTYCTTCAGTTTTTTTAGTCCTAGACTTTCCTGSRCGCAGAAATGCAAACATCGGCRAACATTTTCGTGTTTCAGTCTCATCAAATTGAGCRAAATTTTGCATGTTTTCACACCAAATTCCAGTTATGTTCGMATGTGTTTGTTGCGCTCGACSTTTTTTGCTTCAAATTTTACAGACTCGAAKAAATATTAGACAAAGTGGGAAATCGCAGGCAAACATTTTCGGGTTTCAGTGGCATCAAAATGAGCGAAATTTCCYTTGCATTYACACGCAATTCGAGCCATGTTCGCCTGTGCTCGTTCTTGTTTGTTTCCAAGWTTACAGACTTCGAGTAACATCAGGGAAAGTGGCAAACGCACATTTTCATGCTTTAATGTGATAATATTGAGCGAAATTTCGCATGTACTCACACGAAATTCCCGCCATGTTTGCATGTATCTGTTGCGCTCGTTCTTGTTCGTTGGCGATTTTGTGCTTCAATCACAAACTTTCGCAAACGAACATTTTCGCGTTTTAATGGCCTCAGATTGACCGAAATTTTGCATGTTTTTACATGAACTTCTAGTCGTGTTCGCATGTGTTTGTTGCGTTCGCGTTGTCCGTTGGGGATGTTTGGCTTCAAATTTCAGTATTTCAGTCACATAATTCCATAGAAACATCAGAGCTAGTGGGAATCTCAAGCGAACAATTCTGTGCTTCAGTGTCATAAAATGGATCGAAATTTCGTATGAATCTACTCGCAATTCTTGCCATGCTCTCTTGTGTTTGTTGCGCTCGTTCTTGTTCGTTTAGCAGATTGGGTGCACCAAATTTCAGTGTTTCAGTCGCAGCTTTTTCGTGTATTAGTGGCACAGTAAAATTTGCTCCTGAATCGGACACACTGTTCGGGTGAATTCGTTGCGGTCGTTTCTCTGTTAATTTTATATTTTTTTGCAAAAAAGAAATGAAAACGTGAAATTAACAAAGGGCGATTCTAAAACAAGCTATTTTCGGATTTTGACTCCATTTCCTTTCCGTTCGTTTTTGTTCGGTTTACAATTTCTGGATTCGATTTTCAGTTTTTCAGAAGATTGGAGTGAAATTTGTCTCTTATCGGTTTCGGCGCTTAACCTATGAACAGCGATGCAAATTCGGCGATGTGATTTGGATTTTTTGCTTGTGTATGTAAAAGTGTATAGTAAATTGTATTCGTTTTTATAATTAACTATTCTTGTATCAAAATGGACTTTCACCACGTTCAAAGAAAACGGCTCATATCGTATCCAAGGTTTTCAAAGCCCTTCTTGGAATATGGAGAACTCATGCCCCGAAAATTAATTTTCTTTCATCTTGGGAGACTGCGTGTGGTGTGTATTAAACATCCTGACAATGGATTGCATAATTTCACGCTGATGGGATTTATAGGTATAAATTGCATTTATTAGTTCATACTAATAGAAACCTGTATTTTCATAATATATAAGTTTGTAATTTGTAACTCTCCTACCCTGCACTAGATCGCTCGCACTAGGGATGGGAGAAATGTTTCACAAACATCGATGTAATTCGTTCGATGTTCGATATTTTTACCATCGATGTTGGAAATTTGGGACATCGATAAAACATCGATGTTAGATCCTCAACTGAAAACATCGGACATTTGATGTTCATACTAGATAGAAAAATTTTTTGCGAACTCCTTGATTGTGCCGATACAAACGATACCGCGGCATAGCGATCCATTTCCAACTGCACCCGAAAAAAGCCTCTTTTCGCAGTCAATTGACCGAAAAATGTGGCAACTATAAGTTGAATAAATTTAGTCGATTACTTAACAATGCACTGTTTTAAAATGTCATAGTAGAAGTAAAATAAAATTATTTAAGTTTAAGTTAATCAATTTGAAATTTGTATGCAACTGCAAACTATCATCTATCTATCAACTATCWACAAACTATCAGAACATCGACGTTTGAACCATCGATGTTCTGCCTTCGATGTTTTCCTAACATCGATATTACTTTTCGATGTYAACATCGAWGGTTACCATCGATGTCCCATCCCTACTCGACGAGTTTTCCAAATAATTTATTATAAACTTTYGCTTATTCTGTTGATTTTTGACAGAAAATCATTTGATTTTTGTCCCAAGTTCGAAGCTGGAAAGRGATTTYAAAACTTTTTACAAAGCGACGAAGGAGGCGACATTTSARATGTTGATACYAGATAGAAACATTTTCTGCGATATCTGCAAACTCTTTRATAGTGCCGATACAAACGATACCGCGGCATAGCGGCCCATTTCCAGCTGCACCCGAAAAAGRCCTCTTTTTGCAGTCAGTTGACCGAAAAATGTGGCAACTACWAGTTGAATAAATTTAGTCGATTATTTATTGTCATAGTAGTAGTRAAATMAAATTTATTTAAGCTTAAATTAATCAATKTGAAATTTGTATGCAACGGYAAACTATCAGAACATCGATGTTTCCCTAACATCGATATTTTCTTTCGCCGTCAACATCGATGGCTACCATCAATGTTAYAGGATCGATGTCCATCCCTAGCGCGCACTATTCAATGAATGAATTAATTCGATAGTTGCAATCATTCATTTAGTAATTATTCGATAGTGCCCAGCACTAGAAACTATGTCGATTTCAATCAATGTAAAAAACAAAATGTTCATATTCGTGGTACAACTCAACTAAGCGCGAAGCGTCCGAGTGTTTTTGATTATCTTATAGTCATTCTTCCAGCAGGCGAACGTTTCCAGTACAGGCCTGACCAGCCGTACTTGAAATTACATAATGTTATTGTCAACTACCTACCTACTGCAAAGAGGAATTATAGATTTAATGATTGCAAATTACAGCGGCCGCACAAGCGAATAATACGCCAACAGGTCGAGGTTTTAACACAGTGGCAGTACCTCCTCTGGATGTAATTTGTGTTTATAGGGATAAGTGTGGAAATACCGAGTAGGAACCTTTTTTAGGCGGGGTTAGTCTGCTAGATGAGGAGCTGGTTGACAGATGTTATGAGATCGCTCATATGTGCTTGGAAATTAAAGTAACTC